ATATAAACCACGGATTCTTTCCATACTCCTATAGACAAAAATTCCATAAGATATCGGAGAGCTTTCAGTTAATGATGCTGCCATAATTTATTATTTCTTTGAAAGACTTTAAAATGATTGATACAGGGCACAATAAATGAAAAAGTCCAAAGTGACCATAGTCACATAACCATCAGTCAACAAACTCTTAAAATCCTTTAAAAATAAAGATGGTTTGCCACATGTAAAATTCAATAGACCTAATTATTTTCAAATGAACACTAAGTTCTCATTAATTTTCATCTGGCCAAATTAACCAAAAGGAGAGAGGACAGTCTGTATATCAGTCAGTGTCTGTCAGGTCAAGTTGAAATTACATTAGTGTAAGTGGATCAGGAACATATGAATTAAATTTACCCTTTGGATGTTATGGAAGTAATCATTAAGGCTATCACCCTGGCAGATGGAGAATCTGCCCAAATACCATTGAGCTAATTCCTCATTACTCTTTAAGATTCTGTACAACAGCACTTAATAATAGAAGTCAACTCTCAGTTGACATCCTCCCCACCCAATTTATTTATTTATTCACCTGTACATTTGAGATACGTCATTTATGCCACTGGATCGTTTCTGATTGGGACACAAACAACGCAACAGAAGATGGGGAAACAGAGATCCCACTGACCAGCACCTTTACTCGTCTATAACAGCCCAGTTGCCTCCAAACCAGGTCTCTTCTCTGTTACTACCACTCTGGGTTGAGTGGGCAGAAGGCCTGTATGGAAAATGACCAATTTTGTTTTTAAAGATTTCAAGACATTTATGCCAAGAGAGTCTGCTAATAACTTGTAACAGCTGCCTCTGATTAAGTGCCAGGCAAGGTTTCTTCTTTGTTCTAAGCAATTTATATTCATTATCTTGAGTCTTCATGAGAGCCAGATATGTGGATAAGTACTATTATTCATGTTTTACAAGTGACCAAACAAGTTCAGAAAAGCAAATAGATTGCCCAGGATTGCACAATAATTAAAATAGCAGACCTGGGATTCAAATCCAGGACAAGACTAATAGACACTACTAGGACACTTTGTTCCTTTATTTTTTATAAGTGATTTCAACTTGCGAAAACGAAGTGAAAGCAGGAATCCAAAACCACTGGCCATCCTGGAGAAATCAGTTAATTTCTGGTGGCCTTGGTGACTAACCCTGCTATAGGAGCCCACTCTAATTAGAGAGGGTAAACAAAGTCAGAAAGGATAGAGTCATTTATCCTTCGGAAAATCCTTTCATTAAAGCAAAAACAAAAACCTCCACCACAAAGAAGGTCAACAAGGAAAACTGTTAACTTAAACATAACCATAGAGAGAGAGAGAAAAAATCATATTCCCAGAGTTTTTTCACTTAAATTTAGCCTTTTGGGGATTTTCTGATTTTCGTAAAAATTCATTTTGCCTATTTAATTCAAAAAAGTACAAGTCGAAATTTTATTTTTAGGTGGTATTAGATTGGTGACCCCCTATCATCTGACTAAAACAAACACAAATTCTTTACAGAAGAATGCACCATCACCAGGGATCTATTCCACACAAAATTAAATCAAACAAGAGTTCACTGAAAAAGCATGAAAGAAACAAAACATTGTGGTTGAGAGCAGAAACAAACAGGTTGGAGAATCAGACCCACAGGATTTCAGACACTGGATTTATCAGATGCAGTATACAAAGTGAGTATATTTAATATGTTAAAGGTATAGAAGGTGTCAAATGCATGAGCAAAGAGAAGAGAATATAAAATGACAGGGCAGATTTAAAGATTAAATAGAACTTCTATTTACTTCTTTAAAAAAAGGTATATTTGCAACTTAAAAACTCATTGAGTAGACTAAGCGGAAGATTAGAACCAGCTGAAAGGATATATACAATGGAAGACACATTGCAAGAAATTAGCCACAATGCAGCATAGAGAACAGAGAGGTTTAGAATTGAAATGAAGAAAAGGCCACAATATTTTTAAGAATTGAGAACTGACATGAACTGTCAGTTGCAGAAAGTCCAAATGAAACCCAGGCAGGATTTGGCTTGTATTGTTGCTGTGGCTATTTCTAGTGCAACACCAGCTTCAGATTCCTCTAACATTACCTTTGATGAGGGCTGGCTGCCTGAAAGTCTTCCTCAATGTCTGTATGCCACCCATGCCTCTTGCCTTCCCTGTACACCTGAACATCTGAGAGGCTCTCTCCTTGCCCCTTACCTGTTTCTCTCATTAGATTGCGATTGTTTGTTACCTGGTGCCACTAGGCTGGTTTCAGGCATGCCCTGTGCATCCTGTTGTTAGAATGAGCCTTTCTCTTGGATCCTGCGCCACTCCCAATAGTGGAAGACATCTAATAATCTACTTCCTGGCGATTTCTTTCCCCTTCCTCTAGGGTTGGTTTTTGTTTGCTTGTTTGTTTTTGTTTTATTCCCAGCCCACCTGAGTCTTCATTTTTTACCTGGGGGTGACAGAGTTAGCTGCGCTTCCACAAGTGATTTTTTTTTTCCTTAGGGAAGAGGGTCTGGATGACCTTTCATGCCTTACCTGCAGCTGGCCTGCTTATCAAGGGATGTTCTTTCTGGTCCCTGGCCCTGCCTCCAGTTCTTCTCCCAAGCACCCAATTGATGTGCATGATGAAGAACCTCTGAGTGGGTGAAAATTCTCCTTGTGTCTGTGGCTCCCAGAGGTTCACTTGACCTTGAAATAGTTGTTTTAAAAAGAAAAAAAGCTGGGTGCAGTGACTCACGCCTGTAATCTCAACACTTTGGAAGGCCAACGTGGGTGGATGACCTGAGGTCAGGAGTTCGAGACCAGCCTGGCCAACATGGTGAAACCCCATCTCTAATAAAATACAAAAAGTAAGCAGGTGTGGTGGTGGGCACCTGTAATCCCAGCTACTCGGGAGGCTGAGGCAGGAGAATTGCTTAAACTCGGGAGTTAGAGGTTGCAGTGAGCTGAGATCACACCATTGCACTCCAGACTGGGCGACAATGACTGTCAGTCCTCAATAGAGCGAAATTCCATAACAACAACAACAACAACAACAACAACATAGCTGCCTTCTTACATACAAGTTAGGCAGCTCCTCTTCCTTCTGTGCTCTGCCACAGGTGACTCAGGGCTCTTGTCCCAACTGTCCTAGGAGGCCCCCACTTGAGAAATGAGCCAGCCTCTCCCTCAAAAGCCTTCCCAAAACCTCTTACCTTTGTTAAACAAGGCTGGTTTTGATCTCTCTGTGGAGAAAAATAGGGGGACTTAAGAAAGAACTTACTCTAAAGAATAGGTAAAATGTTATTCTTTAAAACTCAAGTTCTGAGCATAAAGCAGCGAGATTTAGAAATTTGTGTGTGATTTAAATGAATAAATCAAGAGGAGACTGCTTTTGCTTATCTAAGCGTTTGGAAGACGGAATGTGTATTAGTCTGTTCTCATGCTGCTAATAAAGACATACCCAGGACTGGGTAATTTATAAAGGAAAGAGGTTTAATTGACTCACAATTCCACATCGCTGGGGAGGCCTCACAATCATGGTGGAAAACGAAGGAAGAGTAAAGGGTGGCAGGCAAGAGAGTGTGTGCAGGGAAACTCCCCTTTATAAAACCATCAGATCTCATGAGACTTATTCACTATCAAGAGAACAGCACGGGAAACACCGCCCTCATGATTCAGCTACCTCCCACCAGGTTCCTCTCACAACATGTGAGAATTACGGGAGCTACAATTCAAGATGAGATCTGGGTGGGGACACAGCCAAACCATATCAGAATGGTTGAGAATTTCCATCTCTGCAGCTAAAAACAACAAGAGAAAACCAAAAACTTGGACTGGAATATCAGGTTGTTATTACCTGACTGCGTAACTTTGGACAAGTTGCTTAACTTCTCGAAGCCTCAGTTTCTTCTGTTGTGAGAGAGGCTATTTAGAGCAGCTACTTTGCAAAGTCAAAGATTAAAAGAGATATAGTGTTAAAGTGCTGAGCACAGTGACCAGCACGTGGTAAGCACTCAATCAATGTAGCTATTATGATTATTAACTCTCCTGATGTCAACGTCTTCTCATTGTATGTTGGTATTGGGTATATACCGTAGTTGTCCTTCATGGACTGGAGGACTGACAGTTATTGAGCAGAAAGTAGCACATCACTGGTCGGTGTGGACCTTGGGAACCTAAAACAAATTATACTACCTTAAAAATGCACTAGATTTGGTGCCCATTCATTTATTTGCTCTTTATTTCCTTATGGAATGTGGGTGGGTGATGTTGGTTGCAGAAGCTGGAAGGTTAATAATCAATCAATAATTGAGTATTCTCTAAGCCTGTGCCTATTTCATCACTGAGCATGGCTCCAGGGCTAAATTAGCTAAACTACTTACAGAAAAGAGATTCAGGGGAATGAATAAAAGGCAAGGTGTGTCAGGGAAAGAAAGAAGATATAGGGAAACAAGAGAAAGTAAAGAAAGATTTCTTGGACATGGTTGATCAGTCACTGTGTCCTGGTTTCCTGGAAAGACCCTAGAGAAAGTCAAATGATGAATTTGCTAACGCGGATGATCACAGATGTTTGGGATAAACCAGTTTCAAAACCACTTTATGTAAACCAATTTAATATTCTTTTGTGGCAGATTGATGGGCTGCTCTATAGATAAAATAAATAATAAATATTGCCTATCTTATCATCAATAGGACATATGACTATACTGCAGCAAACTTGCTAGCAAGCTAGGAAAATACAGTCCCAGAGGCCATTGTACTGTGAGGTGGATGCACCATGAATCATGCTCAGGAAGTAGTCCTGGCCACCTAGCTCACCAGCTCACAGGTATCTGCAGTCACAGTTTGAAACATGTTGCTGAAAGAGTGTCTCTCTCTGGTTAATCCTGCATTATAAGAAATGACTAACACCTTACAGAGTACAATTAGAATTCTGAATAATCTTGACAAGTTGGAGAGGTAATTTGTCATAAACTGATGAAGTCACAGTCAAGTAAGGTTCCAATAGTTTATTTAGTGAGAACACCTTCACAAATACATGAGTGGTGAATGAATGCCTGAAATAATACATTAAGAAAGAACTGTGTGCCCTTTTATGGGGAGCTATAGAAGGAATTTTCGTTATAAGCTGTTTAAATACCACAGTCTTGGGAAGCAGACGGACTCGAGTTGAATCATGGTTCTTCCACATCTGAGATGTGCCTTCTTGAACAGGTTCTTACTGCTGCTTCCCCTGGTTTTCTCATCTGTAAAAAAGGAGGTAATAATCTCTACCTTGTTGCAAGGATATACCTGAAGAAAAACATTTGTATTAGACACTATTTTTTACCCATCCAACATCCATTTCATCCTTTCTACTGGTTAAGAAAAACTTAAAATTTTTATAGGTGGCTGGATACTCTCCCGGATGGTAACGCTAGCCCAGCTCAGGAGTAAATCCTAATCAGCCATAGTGTACTATCACGGGAGTCTTCTTTCCATACACTTCTTGATAGATGAAACAATAGAAGTTCTTATGATTAAAATCAGAATTTTTCTTGTAGTTATTGCCCCCAAATTCCTCATTGAAAGAGTTGTGAAGTGCTTGATACCTAACTGCTACTCAAAAAAGGGATTGTCCATAACTCTCCATTATTGTTTACTTTTCTGTAGCTTTGGGATCTCCTGATCACCTCTTTTTTATGAAAGTTTCTCCCCTTTTCCATTAGATACCATTGCCTTCTGCTTTTCTTCTAAAATCTTAGGTTGCTGTTTCTCTGTCTTGGAGGACAGCTTCCCTTTCTCTGCCTGCCCCTTGAATACAATTATCTGTTAGGGGTCCATCCTTCGATTTCTTCTCTCTTGTTGAATTCAGCTACTCCCTGGGCTTTGTGACTCTTAAATAATTATCTCCAGCTCACACCTATCATTTCAGCTTCTAGCCATCATTCCAGTGGCCTATTGGACATGCCCACATAGGTGTCCTGTCCAACTCAACTCATATTTGTATCATTTCCTCACTCATTCCCACTGCTCTTCCTGCATTCCATTTATTGGGAAATATTATCACATCTCCCCATTGTGTCAAACCAGAAACCTCCAGTCACCAGTTGTTCCTCCGTCTCCCTTACACCCTGCATGCAATCAACTTGTTGCCTTAATATTCTCAAATAATATTCATCTGTCCTGACCCCTGAATCTTCACTGATACTGCTTTAATTTACCATTGCTAATCTTTATCTCTCATCTGGATTATTGCAATAACCTCTTTGCCTGAATCTTGCTTTGTAGTTTCTGCTTTTATATTCCGTCTTCTAGACTGTATGAGTAGAATGATATTTCTAAAATACAAATTTCATCAAATCACTTCTCTACTTTAAGCCTCCTTGATTTTTTGTAAATGTAAACATTTTAGCACAGTCTACAAGGCCCTTTTATAATTGACTCCAACAGTTGTCACTCTGACACCACCTTGGAGTCACCTAGAGTGATTAAAAATATGCCAATGCCCAGGCCCGACCGCCAGAGATTTTCATTTCATTAATTTGATTTAAGGTATAGGTATTTTTAGAAGCTCTCCAGGTGATGCAATGTGATGGAGGCTGATAACTGCACACAGCTCAATTTTCCAGCCCGAACAGCAGCTGCTTACCCTGCTTATCTCTTGGCTGTTGTACTAAATAATTTGCACTTTGTCGAATGGGTGATGTTTTCTCAAAATTAGTCTTTCATAGGTGCTGGAGAGGCCTTTTCCACTTCTCCTCACCCAATCCTACCAGTCCGTAAGTCTGTCAACACTTGTCTCAGATGTCAGCTCCTCCATCCAGGAGGCTTCTTGAGACTGGGGAGTGTGTCTCACCGTGAACTTCCCACAATGCCACCTGCTTTTTTCTGGCATGGCCTTGACCCCAGTGGGTACTGGAATTGTCCATTCCTCACTCATGCATTGTGAGTTTCTTCAGGTCACACATTTTATTTTTGCATCCTTGTGTCAAGAATAGTTTCTGCAATAAATATTAGGCAAGTTAAAGAATTAATGGGCCTTGGCTGAAGCAGCATGGTGTATCAGAAAGAACACTAGCCTGAGTCTGAATCCTTCTTTACTGAATTGAGCTATGGAGGCAGCCGCTATGATGGCCCCCAGTGACCCTGCGTCCTGCTATTCATTCCCTTCTGTAACCCCCTTTCCTCGAGTGAGGCTAATGAACAGAACACAGCAGACATACTGGGATGTCACTTTCAAGATTGGGTTGTAAAATGACTGTGGCTATGTTGGGTGGTCTCTCTTGCTTTCTCACTTGCTCACTCTGAGGGAAGCCAGCTGCCATGTTGTGAGCTGCCCTACGGAGAGACCCCCCATGGCAAGGAACTGGCCAACAGCTGGTGAGGAACTGCAGCCCTTAGTCTGACAGCCTGCAAGGAACTGATTCTGCCAATGATCACAAGTGAGCTTGGAAGCAGATCCTACCCCAGTTGAGCCTGCGGCAACAGCATCATTGTAACCTCATAAGAGACCTTGAGCCAGAGGCACCCGGCTGAGCAGTGCCCAGATTCTTGGATGACAGAAACTGTGCGATAACTAATATTTGTTGGTTTAAGCTGCTAAAGTTTGGGGTAATTTGTTACACAGCAATAGATAATAAATATACTGGCTGCCTAGCCTTAAGGGGTGGTTTAGATCTAATTCACTACACTCCAGATTCTTCCTCTGTAAAACTGGGGACAATACCACCTACTCTACAAGGCTATTGTGAGACAAAATAATAAGGTGGAAATAAAAGCGATTTTTACAGTAAAAGTGCTACACAAAAGTGAGATTTCTATCTCCAGACGTATCGTAATTCAGATAGATGTCTTTTCATTCTTAATTGTTTAATATCAAGCATCATGAGATCCTAGAAGCAACAAGCTAGAGGTGTATGGCTAACCTCTTTCTATCTGATGGAGTGATCTTGACCAGCTGTGCATTTAATACTTCCTTTTTTCATTCATCAGCTAATAATTAACAGCTGTAGTAAAAAATCACAGCATCCTCAATCCGTGCCTTAGTTCTCTTAAGTGCTTCTTTTCTCAAAAGAACTCTAAAAGAATAAAGGAAAATGGGTCATATATTCAAAGCCTTAGCAGCTGCCTCTGCCTGGAATCTGGGCTATGGAATGGGTAAAACCATCATGGTCAGCAGTAAACAATCAGTGAGGGCCTTCCCTTTGGCCTCCATTATGCTGACTCCTGAGAACGCAGAGAGCTGTAAATACGGACTCGGTTCCTATGGAGCTCATCATCTGATGAGAGTGATGGACCCTTGAAAAACTGCATGTGCTTGAAAAGCAGCCACCCCCATTAGATGGGCAAGCAGTGTCACATAGAAGAACCAAGCAGTGCAATATAGATAGCATATGCTTTCATCTTTAGGATGGAAGATTAAAATATCTTTCAATCTTTAGAAGTGCAGGAGACAGCCGGGATGAGTCTCAAGAATTGGTTTGTATTCAGGCCTGCTAACTCTGTTCTATAACACGGTGTCTCTGACTTGAGAAAAAATGTCAAGGCATGATATTTGGATAGAAATTTTAAAAATTTACAGTGTTTTCCATCTCTATTACCTCATAGAATTTTTTAAAAAATCAGTGGTTTGTTCAAAAATTCTATTCGGGCACCTGTTATTTGCAAAATACTGTGCTGACATTGTGGGCAATAAGATGTGTAAGAAAAGACTCTTCTTCTGGCTGGGCGCGGTGGCTCACGCCTGTAGTACTAGCACTTTGGGAGGCCGAGGTAGGTGGATCACTTGAGGTCAGGAGTTCGAGACCAGCCTGGTCAACCTGGTGAAAACCCGTCTCTACTGAAACAAAAAAACAACAAAATTAGCTGGGTGTGACAGTGAATGCCTGTAATCCCAGCTACTCTGGAGGCAAAAGCACAAGAATCGCTTGAACCCAGGAGGTTGCACCACTGTACTCTAGCCTGGGCAACAGTGAGACTCTGTCTCAAAAAAAAAAAAAAAAATTCTTCATCTTCAGAAAAAATAATAATAACAGCAACAACAATATAAGCTATTGAGTGTTAGACATTGTAGTAAGAACTTTGATACTTTGTCTCATTTATCTTCACAAAATCTTTAATAGGTAAACTAAAAAAATTGTGTCAAAACTGAGAACCGTGGTTCAGGAAGAGACAGCAGTTTTTCCACGGTTATGCAAGTAAAGAGTGCCAGGACTTGAACAGTTCCCATGCCCTCAGGTTCTTTTTCTGAATCACTCATTGCACCTTACCACCTCCCAACCTATCTTTATTTTGGTTGTTGATAGCATCAAGTGACATTTTATAAAGCATTTTACAGTTCTATAAAACCATCTTCATGATCCTCTTATTCAATTTTCACAACAAGCCTGTGAAACTGGTATTATCACCATTTATAGAGGAGAAAATAAAGGCCCAGGCTGCTTAAGCGACTTGTCTGAGGTCAGCCAGCTACTGTGGTAGACCCAAAATTCACACTGAGTAACAGCACACAAGCCTGTCAAAACTTAAGGCAGGAATCCACCCAATATCAAAAGGCACATTGTTGGGTACTACACAAGTGCGGGGTAAAAAGGGATTTTGGTGGGGTGACATGAAGGGTCATTGCAGGAACTGAGTTTTTAAGAAGGAAAACAGCAGGTAGAGAGATGCCCAAAGGACATTTATGTTGGTAAGCTGTGTAAAGTTGCCCATGTTGAGAAAGGGTATTTTTCTAAGAGTATGAAGATCTGGGTTCTACTCCAACTTCGCCCTGAACTCATATAGAATCCTAGGCATGTTTTGTGATCTCTCAGAGCCTGCTTCCTCACATATAATATAAGAGTGACAATGCTTATCCAGTTCTAAAGTTGTATTGTGAGAACTGAGGAGGTAATGTAGTAGTTTGAAAATTGTAGAGCACTTTATAAACATCAAGGCTTATTATCCCAACTATAATAAGATGAGTTCAAGACTCAGAGTCTTGAAGAACTTGCCTGGGATCACACAAGAAAGCCCGACAGGCACCCAGGTGTCAGTATGAAGCTCCTGAATGACCAGTCAACACTGCAGGGCCCTGAGTCTCAGTCAATATTTGAACAGACACCAATTGCTGAGTTTTCTGTCCATGAGGACATGCTTCTTCTTGGAATCATGAAGACATAAGCTAGCCAAAGAGAGAAACTTAACTGCACATGCATTGGTCCGAGCAAGGTGTATGGGAAGGAGTTTCTCAGGAATGGTCTCAGGCTTAGGACCTTCTTGCTCTGCAAAGATCAGGCACAGTTACCCTCTCTGCACTCCAACTCTCGTTTATAAGAAAGTTTACCCCTATTACATGACTTAGAACAGGAGTTCTCAAACTTTTTTATGGTAAAGTCCATGGACTTTCCTCAATATTGTTGTCAAATACATAAATGGCATAAGGCTGCAAAAGAGACAAATTACATTGAAATGCAGCTATCAAATATTAAAATATTTGTGCTATAGGAATATATATGTCTTTATCAAAGTGTTAGATAAATATATGCAGCAGTATATCTAATAAAAATTAGTTTCCAAATAGAGATGAACATAAATGATATTTCAAGGTATCTGTAACAACTGCAAAATCATACTTTAAAATATGCATAGTGATAAAGTTAGAGATATTACAACTTTACAGCAGTTTGTTGCCAATATTTGTAATTGAAAAACATCAAATTTCAATTAGATGCTAGTGAAATAAAAATGTCAGTTTTTTCCAAACCAACTCCATGTACATCACCCCTTCCCTACCTCAAATTTTATCTATGAATCCCGTGGGGCCTCAGATTAAAAAATGTTGGTTTAGAGGAAGCTGAAGAAGGCTTTTTAAAGGAAAGCAGTAAGTTGTGTAGGAAATATCACTGATGATTGCATTTAATATTTATTTTGTTATGTATTATTAACACATTTATGATGTTCAGTTATACTTTACTGCAGATATTGTTACTAATAAAAAGAATGCAGCATTAATTATTCCTCATCATAAATATTAGTTACATGAATGAATGGACAATTAAGAAGCAAAATTTATGTTTATAAATCGCAAGTCCACCCCGTCTACTCCAAACTGTTACCTTAATGAATCAACACCTTGTGTCTCAGTTTCCCTATACTTCTAGGTCACAGATGATCAGGGTATTAGTAACAAAGTTAAAATATAAGGGTCAAGAATATGGTATTTGGAGTCTGAAGTAAATTGGCTCTAGTTCCACCAGGCATTAGCTAGATGGTCAAGGGGAAATTACTTGACTGTTTTGGGGGTTTCGTTGGGTTTGTTTTTTGAGACAGGTTCTCACTCTGTCACTCAGGCGGGAGGGCAGTGGCATGATCTTGGCTCACTGCAACCTCCATCTCCTGGGCTCAGGCAATACTACCACTTCAGTCTCTTGAGAAGCTGGGACTACAGGCATGTGCCACCAAGCCTGGCTAATTTTTATATTTTTTTGTAGAGACAGTTTCACCTTGTTGGCTGGTCTTGAACTCTTGGGCTCGATCAATCCACCCAACTTGGCCTCCCAATCTGCTAGGATTACAGGCATGAGCCACTGCACCCGGCCTTTGCTTTTAGTTAGGTAAAGTAGAAGTAATGATTTCAACTTTTGAGGGCTGTTGAGGGGATCATGTGAGAGGATGTATGTATATAAAGCACTTTTCACAGCATTTGACACATACTAAACATTTACTTAATGGTTGCTATTACTGCAACTATAATTATTGTTACCTGTTATCACAGGGCACTTTGCCTATCAAATGAAAGTCAGTATGTTTAACCCATAACAATGAAAATTATGGGCTCCTCTCAGCAGAATCTTTATGTAGACTTTGAAGTGATGAGAAAGAATCAAAATCTGTACCACCCTTAGGTACCATCAGCCTTAGCTAGAAAATGACACAGAAAACAACCCTTGTGTCAACAGAGTAAGGCCTGACCTTCAAGAAGAATGGAAAAACAGGTTCTGTTTGCCATGGAAGATCTCTTATCACCCTTTCAGAGTGCCTTCGGTTTTTGTGTCCCCTTTCCTAGATTCCAAGGTGTCTGGTATCCAGTCTTCTGCCCCTCACATTCTACTGTGCACCTCGTGCTAGGCAGGAGGGGATGAGAATTTGTATTGATGGGGTCTCTCCTATTTGCAGGGCACTATTTTGCTCTCTAGGTGATGAGTAATCCTAAGCTTGAAAGCCTTTAAATTTTTCTGTGCTTCATTCTTTCAAGGATCTGGTTTTGAAGTTGTATCTGCCTAGTTGGAACCAATCAATAATATTGAGGGAATGGATACCCAATTTTCCATAATGTGATTATTACACATTGCATGCCTGCATCAAAGTACCTCATGTGCCCCGTAAATATATATGCCTACTATGTACCCACAAAAAATTAAAAAATTAAAAAATAATAATACAGAAGTTTTGAGAATGCCTTAGTTTCCAAGTTGCTGGATAAAATATATGTATTATCTTAGCGAAAGCTTTTAATAGCAACACTAATAAGCTACAAAGCTGTACACATGCATCTATGTAGACCTGGCTTTCATCCTGGCTCTACTATATCCCGGCTGTGTCGTCTTGGTCAAGGCAGGTAACCTCTCTCTCTAAGACCATTCTTTACTTATAAAATGCAAATAATAACTTCTTAGCAATTTGGTTAAAATTATAAGATTTTATTTCTAAATAATTAATAACTATAAATACTTAACATGAAAATTTTTACTATCAATAAAAATAATGGGACTTCCAGTGTATTGGAAGACATTTGATGTGAGATTGGAAGGAATTTCAGATGCTTTTTATCACTCTTCATGAGTAACTACTTCTTTGTCAATGAGTGGTGTTTCCTCCATGCTAAAAAGATGAACACATTTCAGTCATTTCATAAACACAGCGCTCATGAAATCCTAGCCATCATCTCAGAGTGAGTGCACACTAAACGGTAAGGAATGCAATGGGTTGAGAAAATTCTACCCAATTAATCTTCATATCCAATTTGGAGGTAGGGCAAGATCTAAAACACAGATATATAGTCTCACCACTCTACTCTGGCCCCTCAAGAGGGTGATACTTGACCTCTTGCTCTTAAAACACTTCTAAACATCTAGGCATCCTGTCCCAGAACAAAAATCAAAGTAAGGCCACACACAACCTTGAGAAAGATCAAGGGCTTTCAGCCTTTCTCTCTTTTCAACTTGTAAAGGCTTGAAGAGGCAGTTAGCATAGCCTCTGGGCCCTCCTTAAACTTTGGGGCTCTTCAGCCATGGAATCCAAATCACTCTTCTGGATGTATGCCCAGAGCAGAGCTCTGGCTTCGAATTCTCTGGACGACAGCCACGATAAAGACATTTGCTACTGCCAGCACATAGAGGGAAACATGGAAAATACAAGAACACAATCAGCGTTTCTAAAATACCTCTGCCGGGGGAATCTTTGTCACCAGCTTCTCAGGAAAGAGGAATTATGCCCTCCTCTCCCCACTTGGCTAATTATCACCACTGTTGTAGAATTGAAAAGAGCTTCAAGAGATTGAAGGAGAACAGTCTAAAGAGAATCATAGTTCATGAATTTAAGAACAGGGTCTTGATTTGCACTTTATATCCTGTGAGGCTCATGTGTTCCCATGTGCTTAGAAGAAACTTCTACAGAGACCAAGTGAGGCTTCTTATAGCACCCTGTTCCATATTATGTGTGCCTTTTTGTTTTTTTAACTTTTTGGATTTTAGAATCAGAGATTCAGTTTACTCATACTCTTATTTCAATTCCTGGCACACT